CTGCCAGTGCCAGTTGGAGGCAAAGGGAAGGGGCTGCCTGTGCTGTGTTCGTGTAATTACTGGGCTCAGAAGTAAATAATCCCTTCAGGAGAAGGTGGTGGTGGTGGTGGAAAAGTAATTTGGCTCTTTGCAGCTGCTGCAGGGAAGACTTACTTAAGTGCCACTCTTGCCTTCACTGTGCTGCTTTAGAATTTGAAGGTTTTAGCAGCTGCTTGGTTGTTTTCACACTTAAAAATCCATAAAACCTTGACTGTTTCTAGCTGTAGAAGTGCTTCTAAACTTGTGAAAAGGGACGAGTTTGCTGTCTGAATATGGCTATTCAAACTTTATCTTGAATATCTTACGAAATTTAGACTTTTAGTTGAAGGTCATTGTGATGCAGTGAAGTCCTGCAGGAATTATGGAAGTAAAACATAAAAGCACGGAGAACACAATACTTGTTTTCAGGCTTGGCTTGATTAGGTAAACAGAAATATCATAAATCCTTTAGTACTTCTAAACTTCATTCTGCTCACAGTTTCAGTTCAGCACGATGAAATAAGTGTAGCTATGCCACACAGAGAGGTTTTTAAACAGTATTTATATACACTTTTGTGCACATGGAGACTTTGCCAAAAAGAAAACTGTGTGCTCTGTTAAGCAAAGCTACCCTAGAGCTTTCTCTGTGGGGAAATAATGACCAGGGGAACTCTTTGGAGAGCTGCTGTGGCTGGAGAATCCCATATATTCAAATATACTCATGGCCTAGCTAAAAGCTACAGATGTTTTGTTCAGTATTCCAATTTAAATCCTTGCTCTACCTGGAAAAGCTGCAGAACTATTCCATAAATGCCTGCTAGTTTTCCATTCATTTTTCTTTTTCCAAAGAACAGCTGTTCACCTCCTTTGTAACCTAAACCTTTTTTATTATTAATTGACTCCTGAAACCTAATAAAACATCTCATTTTATTGCAAAAGATAACATCACATTAAAGGGCCTAAATATATACAAAACATTCATTAGAGAATAGATTTCCCTAGGAAGATGGTTTGTATCTAAGCTGGCAGGACTACTAAGTATTGTGGCTTTTTTCAAAAGAGCTGTAGTGCCAAAAACTGTCAGTAGCCCTACATGAACTGCTGTTATATGAGAGAGAAATCAGTATTTTATCCACACATTCTTAATTTTTAAAGCAAGTTATGTTGACTCCATAAAACAACAATTTCAACTACAGTAATTTTGGAATATACCATGTTCTGTGCACTGTTTTATAAATAGCATGTTTTAGTTGTCATTTAAATACATATTTTGCAGAAGGCCCACAATATGTTTTAGTCAAGTGCTGTCAGGTAGCTGTGGTTTGTTTCTCATTGACTTATGGGGTTTTTTGGGGGTATTTCTTGATTTTTGCTTAATAATGTGTTTGTATTCCTGAAATTTCTGTCCTATTCTGGGAGCTGGTTTTAGGGAGTACAGTGTCATTTTGTAAATCACAGAAGTTTTTTGTAGCCAGTTCTCTTATCTTCCAACATCTCCCAGTTTCTATTGCTTTTCCAATCTTGACATCATAAATTGCCTAACGTGTCTCTGGTAATTTTTTATTTCTTATGGGAATTGATAATTAATTCCTAAACTATTTTAAAAATATTGAACAATAAGAGAAAAAACAATTCTTACACATTACATTTTTATACAGCCAAGATTCTCCAATTAAGTGTTACAAAGCTCTTAAATTTTAGCTATTTTGTTGCTAGGATATACAAATTTCTATGTTAAATCTAAACAAACCAGCAACCAAGAATTACCTTTGTGCTGATGGATCTTGGCTGATGCATCCATGACACCCCCCCCACTGTTACCTTTTACTGTGACAGGTAGTCTTTTGTTCCAATGTTCCCTTTAAAGTTTTCTGGAGAAAGCCTTTTGTGTGTGACAGACTGGGGATAATAACTCCTGGCATTTAGTAGGTGTGGTTTGATTGTGAAAACACGATGCTTTTTCTTTGGTAGGGATAATTTACTTCTGCAGCACTTTTGCTTTATTTTCAGTGAAATTATTGTGGGATTCCATGAAATGCCTGTTAGTTTTCAATTAATTTTTCTTTTTCCAAAGAACAGCTGTTTGCTTCCTTTGTAATTTAAATGTTGTTTGTTATTAATTGACTCCTGAAACCTCATAAAAACATCTCACGGTAATCAGAGCCTCAAGAAAAGGAATGAGGGAGCTCTGTCTGTGTTTTAGATAACCCCTGAGTTTAGATCTGACATATATTTCAGAATTTGACTCTGGCTGCTGCTGCTGACAAAAAAAAACCCAAAAAAATCTCCCTTGTTGTTCTGAAATCTTGAAATAGAGAAGCCCAGGACAACCTTCCTGAAGGAGAGTGCTTTAGCAGCACTGGAATTTCATGTTCCCTCCCAAGGAAAACAGATGCCTTGGAGGGGGTGAGTCTGAGAGCTGAAGGCAGAGAGACAAATGACTGTTCTCCTGTGGCAGCAGCGGGAGCTCAGGGGCCAATTCCCGGATCCCTGCACTGCTTCCCTCCTGCTGTGGGTGCAGATGGCAAAAAAGGGAATTTTCATATCCCTGTGGGGCTAATCCAGACTTTCCCGAGGGAGAGGGAACTGAAAAACAATCGGTTTGAGAGTCTGGAAGACAGAAGCTAATTTTGACTGAGAGATTAAGGATTAAAAATCGCCCGCAGTTCTGAAGTCCATCAGACATTAAATTATAAATCCTGTGAGCATTTATATCAGTGTAGTTCAGTTTTTCAGGCTGTAAGAAAGACTCAGAGCCTTATTTGCAGCTTCCTTTGGTGGCACTTTCTTAAACCAAAGCGAATCTCTCTGTTCCTGCAGAGTTTTCCTGACGCCAGGAATTGGTTGGTGCTCTGTGGTGAACCAGAGTGCTGGGCTTTGTTTAAATCGAATCATCTGGATCCTTTGAAGACACAGTGAAGGCATCACATGCATTATGTGTGCAAACCCAAAGTCAAATAGCTTAAAAGGAGGATTTTTTGGGCTTATTAACCAAAACAAAGACAAAAAGATTGCTTTCATATAATAAATTATTAAAAATCAGTTCGCTGCAGAAAAAAACCTCTGGTTTTACTACTGTTGCACCTGTTGGTACTGCTTATTGTTATACCTTTACCACAGAGAATATTAGTCTTAAAATGCTATTTTAATACACAAGAATAACTTAGACACTAATAAATCCTTCATTATATCAGTTATAGAGTACTTGAGTGTAATATAGTGATGTGTTCTGATGCCATAATTTAATTCTTACCTTTGTTGTACCCACAACCTATTATTGAAGAGCTTTTCTGTCTCACTAAATCCATTTTTTTACTGGTAAAAATTAATTTCCTTCTGAAAAGCCTCTACAATAATGATAATTTTGTGCCTGTCATTTATGTACTCACTGAACTTAACATGGAATTGTTTTTTAGAAATGTCAGTCCCCTCAAATTTTGATAAATTAAGCCGTGACATATTGCATACTTTCTTCTAAAAGACTAGTTCTATTAAAAAAAAAATAAATTAGTTCTTCCAGACAAAATTCTTCTGTGCAAAATTGGTTTTAATGTGTTTTTCAAATGTGTAATTAACCCTAAGTATTCAAGGAACAGAGAAGTGTACAAAAAATGTACAGACATTTTAAATTAACATTGCACAATTAATACAGTATGACTTAGAAAAATAGGATGCAGGGGTTAATCTATTGGAATACCCTGAACCAGGGTCACTAAGAAAAGGTCTGCAGTACATTCCACTAAACTTGCTTTGGGAAACCTTTTCCCCTTTGCCCCCCGTATGAAAGGTGACCACGTTCTCATGAGTAAAATAATAGTATAATCAGCCCAAAATTAGGTTCCATTGGCATTCCCTGTGCTGGCTGGTAAATCCATTGTTTTTGGAGGAAAGAAGTCACTGTACTGACACTTGATAAAATCTTTTCAGCATATGTAATTGTTTGTGTGACACGGATAAGTTCATTAAATATTCTTTTTATGTCCAATTTTGTGTCATGTATCGACTTACACCTTAAGGCCAAAAAAACCCACAGCTTGGGATATTTTAATATAGTGATACAGTCTTAAAAGGACAGACTGGGCAGGTGCTTTAGTAAGACAGGAGCCAAAATAGTCATTCCTCTTTATCCAGCAATTGTGTGATGACATCTGAGGGACTGTGTCCAGTTTTAGGCTTCCAGGTAGAGGAAAGACATCAAATTACTGGAGGCAGAGAGCCAAGCTGCCTGTGGGCTGCAGCAGGAGCGTGGGAAGAGAGGCAGTGAAAATTGGGTTTGTTCAGTCTTTAAGAGGTGAAGACTTAGAAGAGAGGTCTCATTATCCATCCTGTTCTCCATCCTGTTCTTCCTGAAGGTGCTTTTGGGCCGAGCGAGGTGTGACGGGCTCCAGGCTCACACTGGATGTTGGGAATAAAAACTGGAGCAGCCCCTCCCAAGGACTTTGGGATTCTTGTCTTTGCAGAGACTCAATACTCAAATTCACTTAACCTGATCTTACTTGAGTAGAGGGTTAAACCAGAGTTACCACGAGCTTCTCTTGGTTTATGATTCTGAAGTTCTTTCCAGAGGACTCTCTTGAGTGGCTGAAACTTCTGAATGGGGGCTTTTTATAACGAACAAACAAAAGGGCAGAGCAAAACTTAAACCAAAATTCCTTTTTTGTTGTTGTTCAGTATTAGAGGAATGACAGCAAGAAAAATATTTCAGTGGGGACGTGAAATAATGATGATTATCTCCTTTGAGGAGAGACTTTTATGAGCAGCATAGGTTTCCCTGAATTTGTTCTTGGTGGTGTGGTTTCTTCAAAGATCAATGAAGTTCTTCCCTTTTAGTCCAAGTTTTTTATAAAGAGGAAATGAAGGCTGTGTGACATGCTTACCTTCATCTACCATGGTTTGTTTTTTTTTTAAAGTAGAGGTTTGAACCTTGCTATTTTTGGAAAGTTGAAAAAAAAGGTCTTTAGAAAGCATATGAAAGTGTCCTTGGAAAAAAAATGGGAGAGCTTCCTTTTGAAAGAAACAATTTCTCTTTTGAAAATAGTATCTTCATGCACCTTTATTCAGCGAGATGATTTAACTAAATTCAATTATTTTGATTTTTCAGATACCCTAATTAAACATTCTTTACCTTTGTGGTTTTGTAATAGCACATTTCAGGCCTGTGCTCCCGAGCTCTTTCTGTTCTGGTGTCTTGAAATATAAAAGGAGGCATAAGGAAGTCAAATCCACCAGAAGCATTTTCTTTTCATCTTTTTTGTTTTCCTCCTTAACTCCTTTTTCTCTGCAGCTGGAGGATCAGGTGGTGGCTTCTGAGGTGAAGCTGAAGCTGGATCTTGCTCTGCATTATCCAGTGTTTTCAAAATCTGGTGAAATCTTCCTTCTTGTTGTCTGAAGTCATATTCTACACTATGGAAAAATGAAGAGATTTAAGCTAGTAAGTGAGAAATTCCCTCTTTAAAAAACACCTGGAAAGGATGTTTATCTCATCAGAATAACTTGGCATTATTCAATAACAAAACATGATGAAAACACAAGGGTGTTTTGGTTTCTGCTTTGACAATAAATTCATTTATTAATTTTTTTTAAGGGAAACCTTTTACTTTATATGACTTAACAACTCCAACATTTTGCCCAAAACAATGGGAGAAAAATTAAGGGAGAAAAAAATGAAAATGTACCAGAATGACCTTTCAATATATTTTATTCAAAGGTCAGGTTTTGATACCATAGTCTAACAGTCATGTGCTTGGAATTAATTAAAAACTCTCACATACTTAACTCTGTTAAATGTGAATGTCCCCCACTAGGAGACAGGCTAGGAGCAAAAATCTATGAAAGTGAGCCAATATGTAAGTCTTTGAGATAAGTGGTGTTAGTTAACAGGAAAGTAGAACTCATTTTCTCCACTGAAACCCCTAATTATTATTAATGTCAAATGAGAGCCAGGATGTTAATTAGATAACAGCAGATGAGTGCATAGAAATCAATGTAAGGTTAAAAGTGTCAGTGTGGACACTGATTAAGCAGGACTGTATTTTCTTTATTTCAAGCATCTTTTCTGGCCAGGAGAGTGGGTCATATCAGCTGTGTCTGCTGGGGAGGTTTTAGGAGGCAGGGGGAGAGTAGAAAGGTGGTATTTTTCATAATCCAAGCACAATCTCAGGATTTTTTGGGACGTTCCTTCAGGCCCTGAATTGATTTTGGCACTGATTAGAAGAAACCTGTGAAGTTAGTAAATATGTGTGTTTTAAACACTATTTTTGTGAGTATTTTTATGTATATAGAAATCCATAAAAATTGTTAAATAATACTTCAAGCTTAACTAGAAGCTCATTTGCTTATAATTCATGTGTTTGGGGGGTTTTAATGAAATAATACAACTCAGCTGGTAAAAAGAAAGCAGTAGGATTATTCTGATTTAGAAAAGCTGGAGAAGGATCTCTGAACAAGAAGCAAGACATAATAAATATAAAAGAGGTAGAAGAAAGTGATATAAAATCGGTGTCTCTGGCATTTTATCAGCTTATTGCTAAAGCTGCAACTTAATACTTTTCAGTAGTCAAGAATACTAAATGTTGGGTTTCTGGCACGTGTGAAGGTGGCATCTGCTCCTAGTCCTATTTTCTGCCTTTCTTCAGAGTTTTTAATTTCATGTTGGAGAGATCATCTCCACAGGCAAGAGGTCAATTCAGTCTTCATTTAATACTGTCCATGAGATGCCCAGATAACTGGTTTTGTTTGCTGCTTGCATTTGTTTATTATTAACAATCATTTGTGTTACATGATCTAGATTGGAAATCCCGAGTCTGGAATCCCTGCTGGGGAGTTAATAAAGCCAAATATACCCTCACTGTTAGGCAGAAAAGCTCTTTATTACTTTCCTGATCGGTGTAATCCACACTGGGATTTATATGAGATTAGTGTATTGTTTGACTCAGGGTCTGCTTAAACTGTGTGTGATAAAGATGGTTCAGTGACAGCAACCCCACATCCTGCATCACTGATGAGCTGGGTTCTTTAGGAGCAGGAAAACTGGGAGCAAGATAAGACATTTGATTCTATAATTAATGAAAACAGTGATGCTGTGTTAGGGGAAAAATACTTGCACGGACCTTTAGGCTACATAAAATATAAAAAAATTACATGGGTTTGTCTAGAGCAAACACTGATAATTTCTTTTAGAATATTGTCTAAATTCAAATGTTAGTCACTCAGAATACTTTTTTCAAAACCTCATCTTGTGGAACATTTCTGTAAAGTGAAAACTGTTGTTCCCTTGCTGTCTCCTCAAAACTAGAAACTTTTTAGAAAACCAGTGTTCTGTACATGTTCTACTAATCATTGCCCTGCAAAGCCTTCAGGCACCATTATCATTACAAACTACCCAGGAAATCAAAAAGGCACATCAGTGTTTTCTTATTTCCTCTGTCCCTTTCTTTGGATAATTGTGCCACTTGTTCAGGACCTTCCCTGCACTGAGACTTAAAACCACGAGATAACCATCATGGTTTATTCTTCAGCCTGTGGTAAAGGGTAGTTTGTACATAATTTCTAGAGAGTGATCTTTTTGTGTCTAGTCCAGTCAAACACACAGAGATTGTTTGGTCAGAGATGGTGACCAAGCAAAGGAAACCTGCTTTGTCTTGGATCTTCCTTTTCATACAGATGCAGTCTATGCTCTTGGATAAGTCACGTTACTTCCACAGTATCCTGTGGGCTATGAAGAAGATGAACAGCTTTGTCTCAGAGGAGTTGTGGTGTTTAATTTGTGATATCTTGGTTACTTTGGGATTTCACTGCCAGAGGTTTAGGACATCAGTACCTGGCTGAGTTGTGTGTTGAACAACAGGTTCCAGTGCTATGTTCAGTTTATTAAATTCTTTAGCAAATGTGGCTCATGTAGAAGATGTGGTGTGAAAAACACTTCCATGTGGGTATTTTCTATCCCTTGTATCATTTAAAAAAATTAAAGTTATATTGCTTGCAAACTGGCAAAGATAACGGTCTGCCATGTTCTTTGAAATAAAGGAAAAGGTTTCAACCTAAAAGAGAAAATCTCTTACCATTTGTTTTTGTAAATATAGTCAAGTAACCCAAGATTTGGGTTCTCTGCCTCATAACTGAGGCTGCAAAGATGAGATAGTGTTTATAAATTAGAGGAAGCCTTATAAAATCCCTTGCTGAGTGGACAAACCACATGCAGAGTACAACCAAGACTTTGTACCTGCTGGTTTGGGGTGGATGGTTGGGGAGCTGGAGGCTCTTACAGTGTGTTTTTACAGACACAGTGTTTGAAACATTTACAGCTTCCAGGACACGGTGCTGCAATGTTTTTTTAGTCAAATTGCACTCTCTTAAATTAATAACAGCTACAGGAGTGAAAAGTGTGGGAGTTTAATTTTTGTGAACTGTAGCTGTAGCTCACTGGCACTTGGAGAGCTGAGTGTTTATCTTTTTCAAGATCTTAAACGTGTTACAGAAATCCCAGCTTTAAAAATGCAACAAACAGAGGAATTTCATCCTCAGAAATGGCATCAGAGGCTTTAAAAGCATAGGTAAGAACGCTGTGAAACCTTAGTGGGGAGTTTCTATTTGAATTCTCAGCCAACACCAATATCAATTGTTTTCTGCTTGGGAAACAAAAAGAAATACCTCACACACACCACTTGGTGTGTTCTGTTAAAAACTGGATTAGTCACAGCTGAGGCATTTTATAGCTGTGTTGTTCAGCTGGAGGGATATCCAGCCCCTGCAGACCTGTGGGAAGGAGGGAGGTACCTGTAGATGATGCAGGCTGTGTTCTGGCAGGTGCTGCAGTTGTTCAGGTCTTGGCCAGTGTGGTAGAAGTTACGCCTGTAAGAGACAGCAGCTCGTGTAAAGTGTGTTTATAGATACAGCAACAGGTCTCTGAACCTTTTACGAACAAAAATTCACCACTTCCATCATCCTTACTAAAAATTCTGGTGTCAAATTCTAAGTTAGAGGGTTGCTTTAAAAAACACAAACCCTGCGATTCTTGTCTTGCATCTTTCCCACCTCGCACTGTTTTGGGCTGGTTTAGGATTCTGGTTGTTGGTTCTTGCATGAATATTTGTTATGAAAACACTTAGACATGCAACTGTTTCTTACAAACCCACTTTAAAGTGTTTAAAACTTCATGGGTTTGGTGAATCAGTCTGATCTTTACCCTTATGCTTTCCAGTCTTTCCTCTTCTTGTGTTTCCTTACTTGAGTATAACCAAGTCAGATTTCTGCTGCTCATGGCATCTAAATTTGGAGTGTTGAGAACAAAAGAAAAGGGATTTTTATACATAACACCAACCAGAGCTGAATTATTTTTATCAAACTGGTTTTTATCAACTGTTAGAAAGAGTTTGAAGTTGGTGGTTCATTTAGTCTGAAGGATGAGTAACTCACATTTAACAAGTTTTATTTGGATTAGGGGAGAACAGTTGGTACCAAAATAAGTTCCTGATTGTTTTGGAATTAAAGTGGAAGTTCTCCATGTGCATCTATACATCTATACATCTTTGAATGTTCACTGTCACTGCTGGATGATTCTGGCAAGATGGATTGAAGCTTCTCGTTGAATCTCAGTATCAAACTTCAAGGTATTTCACAAAATTTTTCTTTTCAACCCAGTGATAACTTAACAGAAATGCATTATAAATATTGCTAGATAATCTGACTGTGCTTCCCAGCAAATTAAGCTTTGCTATGGTCAGATTTTCAAATGGAAACATGGATTCGTAATCAGAACTTGTGCAGTCTCTCATCCAGAACTCTATGCAGGGGAGAAGATGTGGGGGTTCTTTCCTGTCATTCTTTAGGAAGAACACTCCAGGGGGTAGTTGGATGAAGAATGCAATAGAGAAGTGATTGCTTAAGCTGGACACAGACTTGTGTCCCTGCCTCAAATCTTGCCTCTTACCTGACCTTTTGGGTTCTGGGGTGCTATAAATGTTTTTTGCATTTTTGCTCTCAGTATTTTGATTTTGTCTGTTGTGTTATTACAAAATTGTTGGTAGAAAATCATATGGAACAAGCTTCAGAGAGAGGATAGCTGGAGCTGAGCTGTATGGGAAAAAAATTTATATGGAATAACAATTTATGTGGGCCCAGTGGCAGCTAATAGAAGGGTTTTCACTTTAACAGCCAGATGGACATTAGTGGTTAATGTTTCCAGCTAAAAAAGGTAATCTGTATGGAGTAAAATCACATACTAACTGGATTTCTATAATTTTAAATTTTTTAGTGAGTGTAAATTCATATTTGGAGTGTGAGTTGGAAAGTTATTCATCACAAATAGAAGAAGTTAACTCTAATTACCAACTAAAATACTTTGTAAAGGAAAGAATTCTTCCAAATGGATTTTTCTTTGTTTTTCTGCAAAAGCTGTAAGAAAGTTGGGGCAGATAAAATTGTGGCTTCAGTTAGCTCCATCCTGACAGTTCTGCACAGCCACAAAAACCTGTTCTGCCCAAATGGGAACAAATGCAAAGGCCTAATGCTGGGTGATGTGAACAAGGCAGGGTTGTGCTCTGTGCTATTTCTATGCAACTTGAACCCAAAACCCTCAGTGCAACCCTCCTGTGATGCTTGGACTGTTGGTGGAAATGTGGAATATTATCTGATTTATTCATTAATTTTAATCAGTAAATACTATTGATACACATGCTCTGATTTTAAAATTGAGGGTGCTGTTTGATGCACAAAGCAGTTGTCCAAAAGTGATTATTCTAGATGCCTAAGCTACCTGTGCTGAGAATAAAATTACTCATGATAACATAGACTTCATGTTGTTTTATCTTTAAAAAATAAATTAAAATGGAACCTTTATTATCTTAATACTTTGACAGATTTATCTGTGAGTTTTTCAAAGATAAGTTATTTGATGGATATACTACATTATAACCAGACAGAACTGTCAAGTTGCATTTACTGTAAGTGGGAGATGCTGTTAATGGTGTGGAAAGCCTGATTAGGATATTCTGAAACCTGGTTTGAGTACAGAAATATTTAAAATTCTGTTTTAACCTATGAAGGTGTCCATTCTTTAGACCTTAGTTGGATTTATAGTATTACTATGATTTATAATGCCTAAATAAGTGTATAAATGCTGCTGGCAGCCTTAGCTAGTGACATAAATACAGGTCACTCATTCTTATTGAGCTGCAGAAAGCAGAGCTCTGAAATCTGAGATTCTGAAATGAGTTCTTCCCAAGAGCCTTTACTCCCTCTGTGTCATTAGTTCTAATCCTTTTTAAGCACCTCCCTCTGCTTCCCATGAAATCTTCCTGACTCACTGGAGCTCTCCAAGTTCACTTGGCATTGTGGCTTCCCCCATTCCCAAGGCATTCCCTTGAAGCAGCTCTGCTGTTGGTGGTGTCATGAAACACAACCAGCAGTGCGGCCCCAAAGATCAGCAAATATCAGCCACTGTTCCTTCTGCTTGTTTTTGGAGGCAGTAATGACTTCTAGTAATGATTTACAGAGCAGGAGAGTGGCTTTTGTGATATCAGCTGTGTCAGCTCTGGGGCTGCTTGGGCACCACATGTGTGTCTGACTTTGCCACGGGTTGTACTGCTGGAGTACATTGGACTCCTGGGTTTTGATGTTCTCCTGCATTCAGATTTTAGTCAGCTGGAGACTGATAATTTTCAGGTGTCAGGGGCTTCATATCAAACATCATCAATCTAAATGAAAAAGGGAGTTGTTAAGCTGTGTCTCACTAAAATTGATAAAGGCAGTGGCAGCTAAAACCAAACTATGAAGAGACTTTCTTCTGTTGAGGCCCAATTACCACAAAAAGGGTCTAAGATGCCTTTTCTGCAAACTCATCTTTAAACATCAGAAGAGGTATATTTTTCAGGAGCAAAGGTTAAAAGAATGCTAACATCTACTTTACACTTCTAATGAATTACTAATATTAAAAATGCACCATACCCTTCACTCAGCGCTCTGGATTTTTCCAGGTCTTGGATTACATTCAAAAGGACTTTAATCTTCTCCTGGTTGGACTGCAAGGATTCCTCCACAGACTGCAGCCTGCCTTGGAGGGCACAGAGTTCGCCATGTGCCAAGTGAATTTGATTTATTTCACTAATCTCTTGGTTGGTTTGCGGTTTGATTTCGTTCCTTGGCGGAAGAGACTTTGTGTGAAACCCTTCTGAACAGCTGTTGCACTGGGCAGCATCTGCCTGGCTGGAATTCTCCTGGACTCCAGGCTCCCGTGACGGAGCAGGTTTTGGGATGTCACTGCTGGTCGCTGCCCTGGCTGTGTGATCACCTGGTGAGGTCACACAGCTGGCATCTGGTTTGTGCTCTCCTGCCTGGTGACAGTCTCTGGGGGAACAAGGAGATGAGCTGTGGTTTGATGGAGGTGACAATGGAGCTGTTTCCTTGCTGCTGGCATCTCTGCTGGCTACAGGCAGCTCCAAATCGCTTTTCCCCACTTCCCAAGCAGCAGGATGGGGCTCACATTCCCTGCAGTTGGCAGAGTTGCCTAGGCAAGGCTCTGCTCTTTCAGGCTCAGAGGACAGTGTGCTGTTCTCATTGCTTTCAGTGCCGTGGGTGACAGCAGAGGAGTGCAGGGAATGACTCGGATCCGTGGCCGTGTCTGCTGCATCCATGGAAACATTCCTGTCCTGTGGAAAGCTCACGTGTATGTACTCAGGCACCTGTGTGGACGCAGTTGTCTTCTCTGACGCTGAGGAATCATCGGAGTAGACGGGCCCGTTGCTTTGTGCTTTTGGTGCTCTTTGACTTAACTGCCCGTCCCCCTCAGCACTCCTGCATCCATCCTCCCCGTGGTTCGTTATCCTCAGGTAACAGAGATCTGCAGACATGATGTCCTGCTCACAGAGGCTACCATTGACCTGCATGGGATGTGCGGGCTCCGTCGGCATCTCCGTTAGGGATTTACTCCCTGTCAGCTTCTTCTTCTTAAAAACCGGGAAGTGTTTCCTGAGGCTGGGAGATGTTTGGATGGCGATATTCCGAAGCCCCTTCTGAGCCCTTGTTGGAAAAGTTGGAGAGCGGGTTAGCAAAAACTCGTGATCCCTAAATATCTCTGGTTTTCCGGTCGGGAAAGGCGCGTCTCGGGCGGGATGAGCCTCCAGCTCTGCCTTGGTGCTCACTCCATCCTCCTTGAACCGGACCTGCTGGGATTTGCTCCTGCGGTGCTGGGGGGGCCTCAGAAAGTCTGCAGAGTCCAGGCTGTTCCTTTTCAGGAGCACTGGGCGCATTTTCATGTTCTGCTGGGCCATTGAATCACAGTTTAGAGTCTGTAAGTAACGTGTTTCCCTGCGACCCATTTCATTTGTCATTTGACCCGTACCTTAAGGTCGTTCCCAAGATACAAATTAACACTTTAATCCTGGAGCTGATCATTCTGCTCTTTGTTATCCCATATGCTTTTCACCCACGTGCTCTCCTTGGGGATCTTCATTCAAATTTAATTGCTGCTTAGCCCAAACCCTCAGATAAAGAAATTAAATAGAAAATTTACAGGAAGATTTCTTGTAGCCAGGGAACACAGAAATCCTGGTGTCTGAAGCTAACATGATCTTTGTATTACAAAGCTGCAACAGGCTGTTACACTTGTGGTTAACTAATTTAAAGGTAAGGTCCAGTCTATGGCTTTCCTGGTGGCTCTTGTTTGACAGCAGCTCTCCATTAGTGATCCAGCTTTTTTGTGATGGACCAGTCAGATCTGTTTTATTTGCATGTTGTCCAAACAAGAAGCATAATAACTTCTGGGGGCATTTTCATTTCTGATGCATAGATTTACTGCTGGAATATATCCCTTTATACCGAACTGAAGTGCTTTCTTTAGAGAGAGTTTTTCTTTTTCAGCCATCTTTTTGATGTTCCAGTTGAAACTAATCTTTCCAAACAGTTAAACAAAACGTAACCACTTCTGACCAGGGGAAAATCCAGCATCCAGTGGGATTCAGTGGGAGAAGTTATTGATGTGTAGCTACTGCAGTTCTTGCAAATACAAGGCCAATCATATCCAAGGGGCTGGTTCAGTTGTGTCAGTTCAGTTCTGTGAATACTTTGGCATCAGAAGAGAGGTCCAGACCAAATAACCAGCAAATGCAGAACAACAGAAAATGTTTCCTGAAAATTAAAAGACAACAGCTGTAGCTGAACAAACTGGCAAACAGGGTAATTTTTTTCTGCTGTCTCCCAACAACTTTTCATCTGCAGTGGTTCTGTAACTTTGGCAATGAGATACTTGCATAGAAACTGAAAAATGTTTTATAATTTTGAGGTACATAAAGTTTTTTTTCATATGCAATACAATGCACAAAAAATAGTTGTATAGTTTTATCCAGTGGATATAAAATATCACAGGCCTGAATCTGACCCCAGATACAGATCTTAAAACTTAGATTTGAAAATGGCCATTTAATCCTGTTTTGGATGAAAAATCAAACACATACATGTATGAATATGCTCAGTTTGTGTGCAGGAGACTGGGCTGGAAAGCTCTGGTTTGCCACATTTGGCCAGGGCTTGTCATGGAAAAACAAACATTGAACATTTTGAATGGCCACTAAATCTTCCATTTCTGAAAATCAGTCAGGACAGTAATATAGTCACAGTAACTATGTATTACATGTGTGATAGACTTCCTCACAAACGTGAATTTTCTATCCCCAGTTATTCCAGAAGGGTCTGAGCCTGGTTCAGGATGTGCAAGGAGTAGTGCTGGACCAGTAGCAGATTTTAAGTGCTCAGTTTCAGAACTCACACGTGGGATGTACCTGAATATCAGATATTTTTCCTGTATTTTTAATAAGTTAAACAATATCTTTATCTGGTTGCCAGAACAGAATAGGGATAAGAGGAGAAATTTATGCAAAATATGGGAAATATTCTATGAGGTTTTTAATAATCCAACAGAGTTTGGCTCTAGGATTACAGTGATTTTCCAGGTTGGGGCTAAATTCCTAACACAGTGCTAATTTACCATTAACTCTGTTCCCTGTTAATTCACTGGTCATTTCATTAGCCTTAGCACTTCCATTAGCTCAGAACCTTTTATTTAAGGTTCAAAGCATTAAACAGACTTTACCATATTTAATTTAGGAGAACTGATGAGATGGGTGCAGTGGGAAAGATCTTGTTACAGGATATAGCAAACTGTTCTGTAGCATCATGTAACATTCAGGCACTGTAATATAATTTAAGCAAAGTAGTAATGTGATATTATTCTATTATAAAGTTTTAGAAGAAAATGAGTGTTGCATTATTTCTCCACAGAGAGAAATGTCACATTAAATATTGAGGGAATAAATATGTGCATTAACACCAAATTTTACTTTGATGATATGCAAGAATTAAGTACTGAACTCACTGTGGTGTTTGTGCTCTGGAAATAAGTATCACAATAAACAAGTCCAACAGTTTCTGCAAATAACATTCCACTGCCAAGTTCTGAATTCTCGTATCATCCACTAATTACTGGAGACTTTTTACAGTTTTGTTTGAGAATTTATCCAAATATTGCAGTAGCATTTTCCACTTCCCACCACAGCTGCTGTGCTCCAGGCAGATGGACTACTTTGAAACTTATACTTGCCCAATTAAATTCAGAAAGAAGCTTTAGAAAGCTAATCCTTTGTGTTTTAAATACAAGTAAAAAGCCCTTAAGGGTTTTATGAGAGCTCTCTCCTTTGGCTGTAGAGGCATGTGAGTGAGATTCCTGCATTCTTAATTTGCAAATTGCTATTTTAACTCTGTTGGTTTTTAGCTTCCTTGGCATCCGATAGTCTGGAGTTCAGACAAATCATAATGAAAGTTTCAATGCTGTTATTTATATTAAATCAAGCTGTAGTAGAAAATACATGGGTAGGAATGCTCAAATATTTGGATTGAAAACCCAGACTGCTGAATTTCAATGAGTTATAGGTGTCTGTGCTTGAGTTAACAAATCGGTGTAACATTGCCAGTTACTCAGTTTAAATAACATTTTCCCTTGCCCAGGAAGTAATTCCTCACTCTTTTCTGGCACAGCAATTTACAGGCCTTGTTTTGCTCGTTATTTCCTGCAGAGAGAAAGTATGAAAAATTCTGAGGTTCCATTTTATAGAAATGCTTTCCACATATTAATTTAACTTCAGTCACTTATAACAAAAAGCATAAGTGAGTTTTAAATTTATGTCTTGTGATAACAGTAACAGTTTGGGGAGCAGGAATTTCCTGGGCTTTAATGTGTGCTGTGGTTCCATGGCCTCACATCCAGCTCTGCAGCCTCTTCCTCCCCATCCCTTCCCATTCCTGAGGCTCAAGGACATTTCATGCTTCCCTTTTCCATGTTTCAAGGATGTCAATCTGACTGATACTGCTGCATTTTTGACTTTTAGGCTTGGCTGATACTGTTAAAGCAAATCTTGCCTTTTAAAGTCTCTCCCTGCTTTGTGCACGCATCTCTTAATGGTGGCAGTTACTCTCCAGTGGAAACTTAGCTTTGCTCCAGAGTACCTGTAATTAATGAATTGCCTGGAAAAGTGCAAATCCTGCCCCTTCAAACAACAATGGAACTGGTTTTCCAACCTGAGGACTGTGGGTTTGAGGTCCTAGAAATGCACACACAGCTCAGTTAGGCTGCCAGGCGGGAGAAATTTGACAACAACAGATATAATCTTACTTTTCTTTATAATTATTCTCCCATCTTTCCTGCCTCTGCCTTCCTGGTTTCTTCAAGAGAGTCAAACACATTTCTTGGTTCATATTTCAGTCTAATGACTGAAGCTGTGGGTAGAGGAGTGCAGCTGGGAAGGATAAATGGACATTCTGGGGAATTGCAGGAAGAGGAAAACCATGCAGCAAAGAACAGTGGGGATTTTGGAAGAGTGCAGATGTGTGAGAGTGGCAGTTGTGGGTGTTTTCTGCAGTTTGTGGAAAAAGTTAAATATTTGATGTGGTTTTCAAACTCATTCACCTGCAGTTGGTCCCCTTAATTTTCTATTTGACTGCTTTGCTCAAGAAATAAGTGGTTTTCCTTATAGTGAGTGTGATATATTTGTAGTATTTTGGAGTTGCTTTATGCATGTTTTAGGGCAAATACCACTTGAAAAAAAAATGCTTGAGCAGATTCTCTTCATTAAATGTCAGTAGGTAAAAGCATTTTGTGAGGACTTTCAACAGGAAGATGATTAGTGTAATTTTCCTTCTACTTCTGAACATCTGCGCTTTGAATTTCCCAAGTCCCTCTATGGCAGAGGGTTAGAACAAGGTGATTTTTAAGGTCTCTCCCAACTCAAACTTTTTTGATTCTATGAGAGCTGACAGAGCTGTAATAACTGTAAGATAACATATTCAGACTCAGCAGTTTTCTGTCATATCTGATTTGTGTCTCATCCTGTATAATATAGATTTTCCATGATGTGCAGCTAGATGGACATTTTCAGTTTAGAGAGCCAACTTGATGTATTTAATTATGGTTTCCTAGGTGGGAGAATCATAATCCTCAGTTTCTAAGGAATTTATTTGACTGTCACTTCCCATTCATGTTGCAAATCTTTCCAGTACTCCTAAAATATTTTTGGGACAAGAGGCTGCCCTTGTGATCTGTGTGCTCGAGCTCTCATTCCACGGGCAGGTTCACCCCTGCTTTTCACAAAGAAAAATTGGTGTCTGAAATGGAACTTTTTTAGTTAACAAGTCTGAATTAAGGCTCTGAGTACATTGGTTTGGATTTGCTTTACTTCCAGCTCATTTTCTGTCTCCACCAGCAACTTCAGCACTAGCTGTTGGCCAAGTTGATTAATTTGGCCATATCTCTTCTTTTTATAAAACTCATGTTGGTTTTATTCCTCAAAACAGTGAGAGATGTTGAGGATAAGTTTAGATACGTTTCCAAAATCCCTGGAGACTGCAGTGAAACACAAATCACCTGCTAGCATGAAGGGCTAGAGATGGATTTGAAACCATTAGAGCAGGATGATGCTGAAAATTCTCTCTTTTTTCCCATTTCCTTCCTTCTTGCCAAGGGAAATGAATGGAAATGTGCTGAAAGTTACTGGTGAGCTGCAAGGAGGAATATTTTCAGATGAAAATGCATGACAGATGCAGAGCCTGTAAAGTAAAATCAGTCCCCCAGAAGTGCAAATGTGCAGCTTATTGTGATACACAGGGAAGAGCTGGCAGGGAACAGGAAAGATGAACCTGCTGAGAGAGGATTTTAAGTGGCCTCTGTGTCCAGGGACTGGTCGTTGATCACAAGGAGCCTTATTGCTTTGGGTCCCACAGAATAAAGCACATTTTATGAAGGTAAATGTGTTTATTATAAGAGGTGGAATAATTGGTGTAGCACAGTTTTGTGTCTGGAGTTTTCTCCAGTGCAATATTCTTCCATCACTTGCTCTAATTGGGCACACACAGAATTCCTG